GGGACACTTGACAACAATTCATGAGAAAGAGATTTAGTTCAGAGAAGTTAGGATTTGTGTATTACATTATACTAATTATATTTCATCACATTAACTAAAACTATCAAACTACATAGCATGATAATTCTGAGTAAAATATTTAGAACAAAATAATAGGACTGATTCTGAATTCATGAGGCTCTGACATTTCTTGAGCTGCTTCCAAGTTTCACAACAGGTTCTGAAAAATACATTCCTCACCCAGGACAGCACTACCACTACTCAATGAAGTACAATCTACACTTTTACTAAGTGGTCCCCATGAAAAACGATTGGTATGGAGAGCCAACCATAGCTCAAATAAACACTGAATTCTTTTCCCTCCTCCATACCTATCTTTCTTTACTCCTTCATTTTTCTCTGTATAGACTATTCCTCCCAACTTTTCAAATTCTCACCTACTAAAATCCTACCCCTGAAAGGTTCACCTCGAACATCAACCATCTTCTTCAGGACAACTTTACTATTTAAAACCAAGACAATGTATTTTATCTTTCATGTACCTCTCAGAATATTTTCTTTGTATTGTGATTACTTTAATTATACATGTCCTTATTCGACCCAGTTTTAAAACTTCTTGAAGGTAAGGACTGCGTCTTGTTTGTCTGTATCCTCCACAGTAAGAGTTAACACAAATCCTACATGTTGGTGCTTAATACATTATTTAATTTACTCAAAGAATCTCTAGGATTTCTTTAAATATTCATATTTTATTCATTTAGGAGAGGATGATGGGATTTTGCATTTGTTTTTTACATCTAGCTTTCTCCTGTCTATAACCATTTTATTAAAGTTTTTCTTGCCTTTTACTTTCTCCATGAAAAAAATGTTTCAGGAGAAAGTTAATCACATTGGCCAATAATCTGTTTATTCTAATAGCCCAAAGAGAGAAGTAGTCTCGGATTGCCAGGGAGAAAATGGGTCAGATAATTCTCTTCTGGAGAATGATGAGAAGCATAAACTGGGAAAGAAACTTGTGAATGGCCCTCCTCAGATTAACTACTCAATGATTCATTAAAACAGAACTCATGCCTTGGCAAGCTAAAAGAAAAAATGATTTATGTGAAAATTGTGACTTCTAGGTTATTTCCATTTGCATTTCATCAGTTTGCAAAATCCTCCCCATTACTATGGTGATGATGCATTCTTAACGTAGAATGTGCCATTAACAGGAGCTGATTTATGCCACATCACTTGTAATGTTGATAATCAAACTTTATTATTTAGGATTTCAAATATAATTGAAAATAAACTTTATAGCTTGCTATTATTTACTTAAATAAATTTGCCAAATATTGGATCTTTCTAGTATGTTTTTTAAAGTTATATATTTTTAGATAAAACACTTCCTATATGCCAAAATTCTTAGCATCTGTACAAGATGGTTGCTACCTTGAGTCTTACATAACTCCCTAACCTCACTTCTTGTGACTTCCTGCCTTTTTCCCTGTTCTCTAGTTGGTAAGTCAAACGTGGTTTTTCTGAAAATACCACACTGTTGCACCTTATTGTCCTCCCACCTTAATGTCTTCCCACCTTTCTCACCTGGATGCTTCTTATTCAACCTTCAAAACCCAATTCAAGTCTCATCCCCAAATAGTAAGTCTGCCTTGGAGCCCCAGCCAATATGATGAACTACATTTATTTTTGCCCCTTATGTCTTCTATCTTAGCTCTTACTATCACTTAATATGTTCTATCATAATTCTCTGCATATTTGTCTTTTACTCCCAATATGGCATAGATTTTGCTCAAGGAAAGCCATAACTTGCTTGGCTTTATTTCCCATTTCCTAAAAGAGTGCCATTCTCCACATAGGTCTTCCTATGTTTTTTAACTGTCCAAAAGCTCTCAAACAGATTTAGATTACCACCTGGTATATTCATCTTTCAAGAGACATCAAAACTGATGTGGTTAAAACTTTATGTAAGTAATAGAATTTCACTACAAGAATATGTCTTCAAATTTAGAAAATATCTGACTTATATGAATGAGAAATACAATTTTTGTTCCCTTCTATTAATAATATAATTTTCAGGTATAAGTTTCTTCAAGTAATAAAACAATAATTTATAACTTTTTAGATAATTATAGATTCACAAAAATGGTAAGAAATATAGAGAAATCTGTATATCTTTCACTTATTTTCCCCTAGGAGGTCTTCCTTCAATTGGCATTTAATTTTGCATCAAAATATACAAATATAGAATGCTAAGTCATTAGCCCAACAACCATCAAGTAAAATTCTGGTTCTCTTTTTCAAAAATACTTTCATGAACAAACTTGATCATCCTTACCAAAGAACAGAGAACACTGGAGAGATTCTTTATTTAAAAAAATTGACAAGTCCTCTACACTTGAGCCCCTCAGAAAGTTACTTTCACATTAACAGATGTTTATCATAGAGACAGTCCTTGTTCATTACCACAAAATTATCAGATTATACTTTACTAACATACCCAAAAATTTCTTTTCAGAATTTGAAAAAACCTTAAATCATCTAGGTCTTCCCACTTTCTATTTTGAAGCATAGTGAACTTTTTCCACACTAGTCTTAACTGGTTGCAGAGTTGGTTAATTGATGGATGAATTCTTTGAATACTGAATTCCCAATCTGGGCAAAGCAGAAAAACCTAGGGGTTTCCAAACTAAATATGATAAATCCTGTGCGGTGCACTCTCAAAAATGATTGGTCAAGGACTGAGGAACATTTGTAACACGTTCTTCCTTTCGTCACCTTCAAAAATCCTACTTTAATCTTTGCTAAAACCATCCTTCAAACTTTTCATCCTAACAGTTTTTGGTCACAAAAGCATACATAGGGAACAGCTAGCAATTTCCTGACAATGCTTTTTTCTTAGGCAAAATAAATACCGGCCTAAATATTTCGCCCAAGATTTCAACCTCTTGCCTTGCTCTGTGTCTTCTCTCTGTGACATAAAGTACGTTAGATTCCCTTCTCTGATATTTAGACATTTTCCTCTGTGGCATGCCTATTAAAGACTGTTATCTCGATGCATCATTTTGTCAGATGGTTTTCCAACAGGATTCCCTTGGGAGAGTGGGAAGGAGTGGGGAGATGTGATAGAGAGGCAAACAGACATGGAGGGCAAAACAGTCTGAAAGCCAAAAGCTCAGGTGTTGGATCCATCATTATTGGCCTGTCACTTTATTTTTTATTTTTTTAAAAGATTTTATTTATTTATTTGACAGACAAAGATCACAAGTAGGCAGAGAGGCAGGCAGAGAGAGTGGGGGGGGGCGGGGAGCAGGCTCATTGCTGAGCAGAGAGCCCAATATGGGGGTCAATCCCATGACCCTGGGATCATGACCTGAGCCAAAGGCAGATGCTTTAACCCACTGAGCCACCCAGGCACCCCTGGCCTCTGTCACTTTAACATCTTATGTGTGAATTAGACAATCTCATGTCCTGTTTTTCATCTGTAATTAAGAAGAGCAATGCCTTCTTAGAGGACTGTTGTGAAAATTAAATAAACTACAAGAAAGCTTTTTTAAAAAAATATTTTATTTATTTATTTGACAGGCAGAGATCACAAATAGGCAGAGAGGCAGGCAGAGAGGGTGGGGGGGGAAGCAGGCTCCCTGCTGAGCAGAGAGCCCGATGCGGGGCTTGATCCCAGGACCTTGGGACCATGACCCGAGCTGAAGTCAGAGGCTTTAAACCACTGAGCCACCCAGGTGGCCCCAAGAAAGTATTTTTAAAAATGCAAATAAACAGGGCGCCTGGGTGGCTCAGTGAGTTAAGCCGCTGCCTTCGGCTCAGGTCATGATCTCAGGGTCCTGGGATCGAGTCCCGCATAGGGGTCTGTGCTCATCAGGGAGCCTGCTTCCCTCTCTCTCTCTGCCTGCCTCTCTGTCTACTTGTGATCTCTGTCTGTCAAATAAATAAATAAAATCTTTAAAAAAAAATGCAAATAAACAGATGTATTTGTTTGTACCTTAAATGTAAAATATTGAATCCTTTCCCTATAGTTACCTATAGACCTTGCTTTTAGATGCACCAACCAAAACATGTGTATTAGGGAAAAAGGTTCTCTTTTCTATCAATTACAAATCCCTCAGTTTTCAATTCTTTCTAGGGGAAAAAAAAAAAAAGCCTTTGTAAATGCTGATGGATATTGGATATTCTCCCAACCCAAAGTAGTGATTTTGTTAATTTAAAGACAGTGTGGATGTTGGGATTAGTCTCTCTGTATCACAGAATGTCAACACATTTTCCAAAACTGAATTTATCAGTTAAATGTAGCCAAGAGATTTAGTTTATCTAAGTGTCCTACAAAGCAGAAATAGTTTACCACTGTTTTTACAGATTGAGGCAAATCTGACATATTATTGACATATGCTATGGATTTAATACCATAGTACAGATGTGTGCTCTGATAAGTTTTTGTGAAATCTAGGCTAAGATAGAGTTGTTTCAATATTTATGGGGTTGAAAATGCAGAGTTAGCAAAGGAAGCATTTTAATTAAAACAATATTTTTCCTTATATGTTCAGAGTAAAATATAAGGGAATTCTTTTAAAGACATTACAGTTTCAATATAGTTGTTGGGTTTTTAGGCACACCAAAAGAGATTTGGGTTTTTTTCCAATTTTTAATTTTTAAAAAAATTTTTTAAAGTTTTTTTTTTTTTTGAGAGAGAGAAAAAAATGCATGGGGGGAGGAAAGGGGCAGAGGGAGAAGAGAAAGAGAATCTCAAGCAGACTCCCTACTGAGTACAGAGCCTGAAACAGGGCTTGATCTCACCACCCTGAGATCATGACCTGAGTGGAAATCAAGAGTCGTTTGCTTAACTGACTGAGCCATCCAGGTGCCCCCAGTTTTTTAAATCTACTAATTTTAGAACTATCATAAATTAAAACTCAATAGTTCTGATTTTTTCTTTCACCTAAATGTATGTGACCCCTTATCTTTTTTTTTTTTTTAATTGTATGTTTTAGGTATCCTAGAGATAACTTCAGTGGAAATTGGAGTCGTTGCCGTCAAAGCCATTAACAGCAACTATTATTTAGCCATGAACAAGAAGGGGAAACTCTATGGCTCAGTAAGTATTCTGCCTTAGTTTTCCAAGTCCACTGCAGTAAATCATTACCACAGTTTTGGAATGCTTCCCTCAGACATTGAAGAGCTTTGTTATCATTCTATTGCTAGTGAATAGAGCCACGGCAGGCTGGTCACCAGAGTTTCGAGGGCTGGCAAAGCAGCTCTTGCAATTCTGTAATTTCCTCTGTTGTTCACCCATCAGTCTACCACACAGGCTGTTGCTGGCATTCGTCAGTCAATACTCTGAACTGTTAATGGGTCAGGCTCTCACGGAAGCATCTGGTCAGATTGGCACGGGTGCTACAGACAAGTTGGAGAAGAATCTTTGAAAACAAAGATCTTAAGTTGAGTAGGAAACCATACACTGTGTGTGTTTTAAAGCTGAAGATAAAACAGGGGCTTGGTATTTTGTATTCTGCTAAAAGATGAGATGGGGAGACAGATTAAGAAATTCACTATTTGCATGCCTTCAATCAACTCCATAATTTTATTCACCTAGACAGTAGTCATTAATTCCCTGATGTAGCTGGTATCCAGCCCATGATTAGGGTACATACACCTCTGTGTTTCTGAGCAAGTATTAAGGAATATCACTTCAAAATGTGTAAGTAACCTTATTTTGTTGATTAGCATAAGAACAATTGCACTGCCTACCCAGAGCCAGTGGCTCCCAAACTCAATCACAATCATTGGGAAGATTAAAACACACTTCTAGATTTTTTGATATATTAAAGCTGTCCCAAGATCTAAGAATTTGCAATTCTAACAAGGTTCCAGGTGTTCCTGATGCAACAATTTGATAACGCAACTTAAGGACCACTGGTCTGATTATAGAATAGTCTTATATTTCATTTGGTCTACTCATAACTGGGGAGTTAGGCACACACACTGTGGGCCACTCCCTTTCTCTAGGTTAACTGCCTTTTGCATGGCAGGGTGAGGGAGGTGGTTAAAGGAATTTAAGATTTTTCCATTATGTGCAGTTCTGCTCCTAAGCCTAGAAGAGTAATGGGCCATTTTAAAAAGTGGTACCATTTAGGGGTTCATAGCATAATCACTTTTGAGGCATTTATTATTTATTTTCTTGAATGAACATGACTGAGTCCCTCCTTAATCTAACTATTATAAGAATCACTGGGGAAGGACCAGGTTTATGCTCTTTGCAGAGATACTAAAACACTAAGTCAAAACTTAAGCTTTACAGTAAAGCCAGATACATGAATTTAGATTGAGAGAAAAAAAAGGTAAACAATTTTAATTGCAATAAAAGATTGAAATAACTTTCAGTTGATAAAGTATACCTCTTTAAAAAGGTAACCTCAGAGAGAAATGGAGCATTCTTAAATGAACAGTGTCATAAAAATACTTAATAACCTTTTTCTTCTATCCCAACACACTTCACATACTGTGCCTACGCTTCCTACTGAACTCTAAGACGTATGAGTTGTTTCATCCCATTTCTGTATCTAAAGTAGATACCCATTGCTTTCTATCATAGCACCCCCATGCAGTTATCTGCAATGAGATTTATCAGAAATTCTCTCATGAATGTGCTTATTGTTGACAGTCTTCCCCCAATATATTGTGAACTTAAATTGGACAGGGGCTGCCTTGTCCCACAATATACCCTCAGCACTCAGATCCATCCAGAACAGACCCCCAAGACCTTTTCTTTTCTTTTGACTTTCATGCTGATGATTCGCCTAAATGCTATAAACACGTAGATCCCTAGGTCCCTCCTCCAGAGATTCTGATAAATTTGAGCTAAGGTGTAAATATTTAAAAAACAACTGAGATTAGGAGTCTGCTAGAGGTGTACCTCACTTTGAGACATTATTCTAGGGGCACCTGGGTGGTTCAGTCAACTGAGCAAATGACTCCTGGCTTCAAGTCAGGTCACAGTCTCAGGGTACTGAGTTCAAGCCTGGCATCAGGCTCTACACTCAGTGGGAATCTTTTTGAGTCTCCCGCACACATGCTCTTGCTTTCTCTTTCAAATAAACAAATCTTAATTGCTCTATAAATTTATTTTGGGGAGAGAAAAATAAGTATCTACTGCTGCTTTTCTGTACACAGCTCTGCTGCAAATATAAAATCATTTCAAATAACCCCAATTCTCCCAGTCTCTAAACTGCATCCCTTTTATTAGAATGAATATAATTATTCACATAAAAAATCATCTCTGTTTCGAAGCCATATAGGTTTAGACAAACTATGTTTGTGATGGTTCTGATAATGTTCAAAATGATGATCTAGTTCATAGAAACCCAGACACTTAAAAATACAGATATTTAGGAATTGAGAATTTAGTTAAAAAAAAAATTAAATCCCAAGGTGAGAAAAACTATTTGAACTGCCCAGGAGAGGCCAACTTAAAGATCCCTACAATACCTTTGGTTTGGATCGGGAAACGTAGAACCAGAAGAGCAAAAGCCCCTATTCCTTAGCTTCTTATCTGCTTTAGTGTGGATCTAAGAGAAGAAGGACATTTCTAAAGGCAGAGTTTTGAGATTGGTGGTTACTCTTCATCAGTAATTCAGAGTGAGATACTGGATTTATGGAATGAAGGCAACATGAATTCTTGTCCCAAAGATCCTCTTAAAAACACATGGCCACTTGAAACAAAGCCAAAGGACTATGGCTATAGAGTGGAATTTCCCAGGATCAAAGTCTTAGGTTTATACAATGAAGGTAGTGATAGTCACCGTGTTTGTAATTTCTTTGATATGGTAATTCACAAAGTGAGGAATTCCATGTCCTAGTTTTCAATTACTTCTAGACCTAAGAGTAAATCTATTAAAATTCCAAGTTATGGAAAATTATATATTATCTACAAAATAGAGAAATCTAGTATTTGTAAAATAGGAAGACATACCCCCACCCCTCCCTGGTCTCTTGGTTATCTCGAATGATTATGATTTTGCTGTAAGGTCTGTTTTCTTGTCTATATGGGTGTATTTATTATGGATTTATAGGTAAAGTTTGCAAACCTGATAAGCCCAAGTTTTTTCTGTAATTCTGTTTTTCCCATGAGAACCCTAGTCATTACTCAGGGAAAAAAAAAAGGGGGGGATTATAAGACTATTCTTTGTCATTGACTCATCATAAATACTGTTAGAGAAACGTCTGCTTCTTAATAATCATTCTAGGCACTTAAGGCATGTCATAGTCAAAACACAACAGCTTCTTAAAAGGGCCCTAACATGTGGTTATGATGATCAATTAAAATGAATCATGAGCCTTCAAACACAGATTCTGTTCTGTGGTTGTGAGTTTTACTCTTCTATTGTTGACATGGTGCATTAAATACATAACCAGTGTACAAATGGCAACAGCAAACAAAACTCTTGAATTGGAGTTCTCTGGATGGTGTATGTCAAATGGAAGTAAGTATCATCATCACAGAAATAAAAGATTTTATTTTTCTCTTGCAGAAAGAATTTAACAATGACTGTAAGCTGAAGGAGAGGATAGAGGAAAATGGATACAATACATATGCGTCCTTTAACTGGCAGCACAATGGGAGGCAAATGTACGTGGCATTGAATGGAAAAGGAGCTCCTAGGAGAGGACAGAAAACACGAAGGAAAAACACCTCAGCTCATTTTCTTCCAATGGTGGTACATTCATAGAGGAAGGCAATGTTTGTGGATGCAGCAGAACCAAAGGTTCTTTTGCCAGGACTAGTTGGTATTCTTCACGAAGACAGTAGCTCAAAAGGCAGAGACACATTGCAGATGTCTGCTCGCTTGAAAGAAAGGAAGTCTTTGAAGGTTTTGTACTCACTGCTGACATAGGATGTTCTTTTAATTAGTTCTGTGTCATGCCTTATAACCGAGATAATAGGCAGATTAAATGGGATGGAAGTTACTCCTAAGCGAACAACATTGTATGTTGGCTGGGTTTTTGGTGAAGTTTTTGTTTCTGTTGTTTTTTAACCTCTGAGATAGAACTGAAAGGACATGGAACAATCTGTTGAATGATCTTCGGGAAAGTTATTTATGGAATACGAACTCATATCAAAGACTTTCATTGCTCATGCAAGCCTAACGATTCAATGAGCAGTCAGACACGCAAGCATTTACTGGAAAGCACTTGGGTCACGTCATATGCACAACCAAAGGCGCTTTGGGCATGGCATCATGGAAGAGTTGGATAAGATTTTAAAAATGTAAACATGTTAGTGTAAAACTGTTCTAACAAAACAAATAGTATGGTATGCTTGTGCATTCTGCCTTCATCCCTTTCTATTTCGTTCTAAGTTATTTATTTAATAGGATGTTAAATATCTTTTGGGGTTTTAAAGAGTATCCTCAGCAGCTGCCCTCTGATTTACCTTTTCTTTTTCTTCAGCACACCACATGCATGTTCATGACAAAGTGTTCTTAAAACTTGGCAAACACTTCAAGAATAGGAGAGGAGATAGGGAAGCAGGGTGAGAGCCCCATGTGCTATGAGTTAACTTAATATCACTTCTGCAATAAGAACCATCAACAATAAATATGACAGTGTCGTGGCACAGCTTGATGAGAGATATCTGCCATCATTTAAAAACATCTATCACTCCTAAGGCTTCCTTTCATAAGAAATAGACCAGAAGGCCAAAGTCTTCTCTTTCAATACACCAATGGGGCTCCAAGAAGGAAAATTATTATAAATAAATTTTAGTAGCCCAGCCTCATTATTTACCAACGATTTTTTGCCATGTGTCATGGTGGTTAGTGATGAAGAGGCTATCTGCATATATAAGATCCCTTTATAAGTCCCACATAGTGCATCTCCCCCAAAGGAATTATCAAGGAATTTGAAGTGTAACTCTCCCAGGGGCTTAAACTGAGCAACTATATCCTGGTATATGTGTAACCATATACTGAAACCTGTTCGAGCTGTATGATCTAGTCTTTACAAAACCAAATAAAACTTATTTCTTGTCAATTTAAAGAGCTTTGGAAGACTCCATCATGTAATCATATCAAAATTCATTTTGTTAGAGCAGGTATAGAAAACAATACATAGGAGTATACCAGTCATCATCACATTGTATTCCAGTAAATAAATACATAAGCCTTATTTGCAGTGTCTGTAGTGATTTTTTTTAAAAAAGTGTAGAAAAATACTACTTGTTTTAAATACTTTAAGTGATAACTATAAGATTATATTGATGCTGCAGTTTTATCTTCATATTTCTTGTTTTGAAAAGGTCTGTTTATTTTTATTGTTTGGACACAGTATTTTGGTACAAGGGAAACACTCAGTACATGTGTCTTTTTACTAAAGCTTAACCTCTAGAAAGGCTGGTGTTTTGTGATCCTCTCTTATAACTTAATTGTGTCAATGCTTAACCAGCACTTCCAGTTAATCTGTTATTTAAGAATTAGTTTTATTAAGAAACTTAACATAAAGTCATCCCATAAAAGGTCTTATTTTTTTCATTCCTTAAAAGAGTCGGGATTTCAAAAGGTATGCATTTGAGGCAGAGAGTTTTGGGCACATGACTAAAGCTGCATTTCATAGCACTTGGCTTCCAACTTGCTTCTTAACAAATCAGATTCTAAAAATGTTTAATTTTTGTGGTTGGAATCTGTATGTGAAAACATAATTGGTAACTGAGTCTGAGACCTATAATGTAATGTATTGCTATCAGAACTAGATTATCTTTGCTCTTTTATTCTAAAATAATAATTGCACCTGACACATGAACACAGACCACCCAAAACCAAAATTAAACGTTTGGTGAGACAAATACAGGATTAGATGACTGCACGAACAGCAAATAGGACACAAACTGGATTCATATTTCACATAGCCACTTAGATTACCAAGGAGACTATGTGTAAACAGACATCATTATCGGACTCCAAACACTAAAACAGCTTCTAGCAAAATATATCAAAGCTTACAGAAGCCGAAAATAGAAAACATCTCCCTCATCTCCCTTACCCTAACACCACACACACACACACACACACACGCACACACACGGACAAACAGTTTGGTAAGGAGAATGGAGATTCTCCTGTATTTAAAAATGGCATCTTTGCTTGATATTGAGGTAGAATTCTGGTCCCCTTTGCAGCTGGTTTGTGCTAATGAAGAAAAAGCACTTCCAGCCCTGAATATTGTATGTTTAAAAAAAAAAAAATCATCATGATTTTGGGAGCTCAACCTCTGTGGGAAGTGTGGTCCCTGGCCACGATGTCAAGATGAGTCAGCCACAAATGTGTGCCCATCTGAGTGTTGGTTCTGAGGAGACGCCTCATAAAGATATAGAACCCCTCCCTCCTCCTACCTCCCAAAAGGCTGAACAGTGTATAGTATGTTACATTTAAATAAATCAATAAAAATGCTGGGAAAAGAAAAAAAATATATTGTCCTGGTTTGTTTTATTAGCCTATACCGAACTCTACCTGCTAACAAAAAGAGAAATTCAAGTGTTCTGTGCGTGGCAGGATGTGGTGAAATGCCCCACAGTCCCAAACAACAACAAAAGAAAAAAAAAAATCATTCAAACATTTGAGAGTTTTCTTTAATGTTTTACATGTGTGAGTCAGCTATCCTTACTCTAATAACAACCAAATGCTTTAGATTTTTCCTAAGTATTCAGGTCCACCTAGTTTACACAGTGGATAAAGAAGGATGAATTGAAAACAAGGATGGCTTGTGAAACAATGAAAGACTTTTGGAGGAAAGCCAGGAGGTTGCAAACTCTGATTTCAAGGGGAGAGAGTAAGCCAATGAATTTGATTTAAAAAGTAGAGAGAGAAAACTATATAATTATGCAAGCTGGGTCCAGAGCACAAGCAAGGTTATGGACACTATCTAAATTGATCAGCATTAATGCTGCACAATTCCAATAATTTGGATGTTGTTAATTCAGGATTTATGATTACTCAGCAAAAAAAGAAAAAAAAAATTACCTTGTCCTTATCAGTGAAGGCTCTAGCTGGTCCAAACTTTGTTTAAATAAAAATATCTGTAGGAAACCATGAAATACTTACAATACCTATTGCTTTAGAAGTAACCCATGTATGGGGCGCCTGGGCGCCTGGGTGGCTCAGTGGGTTAAAGCCTCTGCCTTCGGCTCAGGTCATGATCCCAGGGTCCTGGGATTGAGCCCCGCATCGGGCTCTCTGCTCAGCAGGGAGCCTGCTTCCTCCTCTCTCTCTGCCTGCCTCTCTGTCTACTTGTGATCTCTTCTGTCAAATAAATAAATAAAATCTTAAAAAAAAAAAAAGAAGTAACCCATGTAATACAAACAAATACCGTGTTGATTAAGAATTCTTGTCCGTTTCACTTGACAGGACTTTGCAACTTAAACAAAGCAGTTAAGAAAAAAAGAGGAGCATTTTGGAAGGATACTGGAAAGAAATGTGCAGGTCTGAGTTCCATCAGAACCAGGACACAAAGCGACTAAACTCTGTACTCATTTCCTCTTACCTCTGACTGGCTTTATTTGCTAGGCTACTGGTTGCCACCAATTTACATTTTTCCAACTCTTAAAACCCAAAACCTCTTCTTCTGAAGATCCCCAAATGGAAACATCTTAGGTATTACTATTATTGGCCAGGACTGGATAGCACCCCAACCTCCAGAGCAAATAGTCTGACAAGGCATAGGGATGTCGGGATTGGCCAGGTTTGGGTCATGTGATCAGAGAGCTGCAAGGTGCAGGTTTTGGCAGCCCACATAATTGGAAGAAATGAAGAACAGGGTACCAAGGGAAGGGCGGTGCTGGACAGAGGCAAAAACAAAAAAGGCTCTTAGTTACACCTTGTTTAAATGAGACCAATGACACAAACATATACCATTTTCCAGAACACGTATCATTTAATCTTATATTTTTCATTAATTCTAATTGGCCTTCATATAATTTGTTCAAACTGGAGACATTTCAAGATGTTTTTCTTTTATGTGTTGGTTTTTTTTATGACAGAAAGACTACATTTGTTTTGTTTTGTTTTGTTTTGAAGCCAAGAGAAGGGCCCCGAATATAGTCAGAATCACTATAATTCTGCAAACTTTAAAGAATAACAATTGAGATGAATGCAATTTTTCACTAAATCAAAAGGTAATCCTACTATATATCAACCTCTACCATAATGACGTCAAAAGTATTTCTTTACCTCAAAAGTATGTACCAGTATTTTCAAGTTAATCAACACATAGAAAAAACCTGCAACTCAAATGCCATTCATTTTTTTAATGTAGAATAAAAAAGAAAAAAAACCCTGTTTTATGTCTTCTACTATGCCTTGTATGCATTCACTATATGACAAAAGAAAACTTCATAACATGCATTTCTGTCTTTTGCTGATTAACACCTTTACAAACACCACATCTTAGTTAAAATGGAATAATCATGATCAAACTAATGAGATCAAAGGAATTGGTTTCATTCCTAAGTGGCTCCTAATGAATATTTCCATGTGGCTGCTCCATGATATCAGCGAAGGGCAACAATTCAACACTCAAAGAGAAAAGCCATATGTCAACCATATATGCATGTGGCATGTATTATCTTACACATTTTTATTATCCTCTACAAAAGAGCCTATGTTCATGTTTTAATATAGGCAATTGCATCCTCTAGAGATGAGCACAGCAAATGAAGAATCAAAACATCCCATGTTCCTCATTACAACTGTAAATTGAACATATGCCTTCATACAACTTAGGCAGTGACCCCAGCTGTAGAATAACCAACTACAGTGAGGTCTTAACCCTCCTAAAGTTTGTTTTTAATTACCTTATACACATCGTAAATGACTAAATAATCTTATAATTTTCTAAATTAGTTATCATTTCTGTGCTCAATTTAAGCTGCTGACAATGCAAATATTCCCAGGTCTTTCAAGGAGAGTAAATTAAAATCAGTGTTTCATAGGTATTATAAATCAAAAAAAGACTGCCTTTTATGGTTACGGGAGGCATTTGGGTTAGAGGTCGCTTATCAATTCAATTCAACAGTAAAAATATTTTAACATCTGGTATTTAACTGCCAGAATTTTCCATACCCATTGTTTTCAGCGATATGATGAATATTTTCAGACATTAACAATATTTAAGCCAATATCTGTGAAACTGATATAAGAAAAAAATCTGGTTTTTAGTGAGCTTTCCAACTAACAAAAGAAAAACACTGAAAAATGACATTGCAAATAAGTTACAAACAATATCTTATTTGTTTCCCTGATATATTGATAGTAAGTATAAAATGCATTTTATAATGCAAGCTTAACCTCATACAGGAAACAAATGAAATTTAATAGGGTTTTTAATAGGATTTTTAAAGTCAGATTGGACAATTTCCCTCTTCATCCTACCCTAGGAGAAAGTTCTGCACTCCATCCTCTAAAATCTCCTAAGAAATAGTGAAATCACCACGTTATCAACCATGTTTTCTCTTTTTCCTCATTCTTAACTCCAGGTGATAGTAAATAGCTATGTGAAATCTATTTCCTTATTAAACTCACAAGAAGATAGATTTTATTTAGACCCATACCTGCCTTCAATTACTTCAAATGAGTAAAAGACTCCATAGTAATGTTAGTAAAGGTTGTTGGAGGCATCTAATATTGGGTACCTGGAACTGTTATTTTCGCTTTTCTGATTTTATTTATTGTTTCATTTCTATTT